ACCCTGCTTCCCCACAGGACACACCCCTTGAAAGGGGGAAAGCTCGTGTTTCCTCTGCCAGAAACTCTGGAATTCTGAGCCTGGACACATGTCAGGCCACCCTGACAACATCCATGTCAGCATGCGTGTAAGCGTGTGATCAGTGGCAGTTTCTGCAGCCACGTCCCTAGCATTGAGGGGATATTCAGACAATTCCTGAATAGAGAGAATGCGAAGAGCAGGAGCAGGATCTGCCTCTACCTGCGGTAGAGGTAATCTGCTGAGGCCATCTGCATGGACCATTTCTTTACCTGGTTTGTGGACCAAAGTATAGTCATATGCTGACAGGAAAATTGACCATCTCAGCATTCTAGGGGATATTATATGAGGGGTTTGTTTATTTGTTGTAAACAAACCCAGCAGAGGCTTATGGTCTGTGTAGACCGTGAAATGGTGGCCATATAAGAAATCATGGAATTTTTTTATGCCAGCCACTATTGCCAAGGCTTCTCTGTCAATCTGCACGTAATTACGCTCTGCAGATGAGAGAGTTCTGGAGTAGTAGGCCACAGGGACTTGCGTCCCATCAGCCTTGAGGTGGCTCAGCACAGCCCCAACCCCATAAGGGGATACGTCACAGGCTATGCATACAGGCAATTGCTCGTTGAAATGAGCTAACACAGCATTTGAGGAAAGCAAGGCCTTGACTTCTGAAAAGCTCTTTTCATGGACTTGTGTCCACTACCAAGGAGTCTGTTTATCCAAGAGCCGGTGTAATGGCTCAGCCACTGCGGCCTTGTGAGGTAGAAATGCATGGTAAAAGTTTAACAGTCCCAGAAAAGCCTGAAGTTTGCTTTTGGACTTGGGACTTGGGGCCTGCTGAATTGCTTTGAACTTGGATTCAGCAGGATGGATGCCTTCAGCATTAATATATGGAACCCCAGAAATTCAGTGGAGATTAACTCCAATCTTACATTTGTCTTGCTTCAGCTTCAGCCCTGCTTGGCGGAAATGCAGCAAGACAGCCCTCAGCCTTTCCGCTAAGTTCACAGATGACTCCCCAGCAATGAGGACATCATCAAAGTAGGGACAGACCCCAGGAATTCCACGGAGCGTTTGCTCCATCACACTCTGGAATATTCCAGGGGCCACATTAACCCCAAACTGCAGCCTTTTTACCTTAAAGTCTCTCCGGTGCGTCACAATTGTTTGGGCCTCAGCCGTTGCATCATCAACAGGTAGCTGTTGATAGGCCTGAGCCAAATCAAGCTTTGCAAAGAATTCCCCTCCCCCTTGAGTGAAGCCAGAATGTGGCTCACCGCAGGCACCGGGTAGGCATGCTGCTGCAATGCCTTATTTAGTGTACATTTATAGTCCACACAAATTCAGACTTCTCCATTGGCCTTCAGTGGTGTGACTATAGGGGTTTCCCATGGACTAGAGTCCACAGGTTCTAAGATGCCCTACTGGAGCAGCTTGTCCAGCTCTGCATCTATTTTGTTCTTTAGGGCAAAAGGCACCCTTTGGGGCTTGATCCTGATGGATGTGATGGCTGGGTCTAAACGTAAAGCAATGGGAGTCCCCTTGTACGAGCCAAGCTCTGAACTGAACACATCAGCAAACTCCTTGCAAACTTCTGCCAGGCCTGACGTTTGCAGATTGTGAAGTCCAGTCACTTGAATCCCAAGGGCCTCGAACCAATCGAGTCCAATAAGACTCGTACAATCACCCCCAACTACCACCACATCTAGCAGCCCTTCAAAACTCCTACATTGCACCTTGAGCATGGCCTCCCCCTTCATGCTGACTCTGGAATTCTGGAAGTCAGTAAGGATTAAATTTGAAGGCCTGAGTTTAACTCGTAGGCCACTTCTGCTGCAAACCTTATTAAAGGTGCCTAAGGAAACTATTGATAGAGTGGACCCTGTGTCCAACTCCATCGACAAGGGAACCCCTTGCAACTTCACATCAATGTGAAGCTTCTTTTGAAGTGGCCTGTGAACCCCAGTTTTGAAAACGGGATGCGCAGAAGCCCACTCTGTTTTGGCTGGGGACCTTGGTACCTTTCAGAGGCAATTCTTCTGGAGACCGATTCTTCTGGCGACCCAAACAGACAGAGGCAATGTGGCCTTGCCTGCCACATGCCCAGCAAATAGCGGAGCGGAACTGGCAGTCAGAGCGCTTATGGTGACCTCCACACCCGAAACACTGAGGGACTGAGGTTGTCTGCTGTCTACCTTCCTGAGGCCTTCTTTCTGCTTGCTGCTGAAGCCTGTCTACCTCCATCTCGGGCTCCTCTTCGGAATCCCTCTGAGCGACCTCTTGATGGACGGTACTAGGTGTTGAGAGGTTCTTGGCAAGCCTCAAGGTCTTCACCGCTCTGCCCGCTGCTTCTTCAGCTGAAATCTCTGTTAATGCATCTTGGAATGACACATCTTCTTTTGCAAAAAGTTTCTGTTGCAGCTCATGACTCCGAAGCCCAGAAACTAAAAGATCCTGGAGCCTCTCTTCTAGATCCTTGAATGCACAAGGCCTAGCTGCTTGTCTTAAGGGAGCAACAAAGTTCACAGCAGACTCACCAGGCCTCTGATCCCTCTGCTCAAAGGTGGGCCTCCATGCAATTACTGAGAGCTTGGGTTCGAAGTGCTCTTGCAGCATCCTCTTTAAGTCAGCATACACAATTGATTGATTCCAATGGTGCTAGGGCTACAAGATTCTTGCCCACAAGAATCTTGTGTGTCTGTGTGTCTCTTGCCCACAGACACACAGCAATGTAGCAGCTTTAAGGCCATCTTCTTGGACCTCGTTTACTCGAAAGTACCTCTACTCAAGCCACGTAGGAGCTCCAGTGCTCAGGGTGAGAAGTATCAAATTCCGATAGATGGCCTAGCTTTGACATTGTTACAGCCTGAAGCCTCTTCAATGCTTCTTGCTGCAAGGTATGAGATGGGGTCCCATGAAGCCGAGCTCACCTCCAGCATTCTCGTACTGGCAGGCAATCGCTTCCTCTGGACGCTGAACTTCCCAGCGCTTCAGGCCTCCTCTAGTAAGTCAGCCTAGCTTCTCCTGTTGTTCTTCTTGCAGCCAATCCCACCTTCATCACCAATGTTCTGTTTTAGAATCAGAGACATCAAAGCAAGGCAGGAGTAACCAAACATAACTTCTTTATTGAGATCACAAACAGAACAGAACAGCAAACAAAATGGCGCTGGCCCTTTTATATTCCCTTTTGCAGGGACAGCATCAGCCTATCATGTCAACGCTGCAAATATTGTCAACGCTGCAAATATTGTATATTCTTGCTTTTGACAATATGCAGAATTGTCTGGTAAATATGGGGTTAATAAAGAGCAGAAGGGGCGTTGGGGGTAACGCCCGGGAAAGAAAGAGGAAGAAAACATTTGACCTTCACACTAATTGGATAGTGTGAGATATGACGGCTAATTTAGGGAGGGAACATGCTGATAATTTAACTGCTCAGAGGAAGAGAACTTAGATCCTAGCATCCCTCCATTGTGCCTCTGCCGACATTTTGTAACAATAAAAGACTTTTAGGAAAATAAATGCCTGGAAGTTCTTTGGAATGTTTCATTAGCCGGAACCACAACAGCAAGGCTAGTCTCCCACCTTGCACATGCTCACAAGGCTGGAGACAGCCTGTCTGGTCCCAGGCAACCACATGGTCTGCCCAGGCCTTCTACAGCCTCCTGAGCCTGCTGAGTCATTCAGCAAGCCAGGACATAACACTACCAATTCTCTTCTTTTTTTCATAAATCTTCAGTTTCAAGTTCAGAAATTTCTAATTCCCAAACTTAAAACCAGCTAAAAATGGGAAGGCAGCTATTGGACATCTGATTTCTACACAATTAATAAAAGCTTACAAGTAGTGTTGATTTCCATGTTAGTCTCTCCCTTTAGACAGACTGATCACTGTAAACAGATGCCCAAACACTAGTACTGTTTTGTTATTGTCCCAATCTTTAAGAAAAGTGATAAATCTGATCCTGCTAATTTCTTTCCAATCAGCTTGTTAAGTATTATTAATGAACCTTATGCTAAATATCTGAATGAGATATGCTCTGATTGGCGAGAACATGAGGAAAACTTGATTAGACCAAGTGAGCAGAACTATCAACAGCAGATTAATGTATTTGAAACTATTTGTTAGGGAAAAAAGCCCCAATTCTTGAGATTTCTATGTAGATTTAAAGGTATCTTTTCATTCAGCCTTAAAGGAGAGATTGGAATGGACAGTACTAAATACATCTATGGGGTGCCATTTTTTAAATTAATCACAATTTCTGTGAAGCCATGCAAACAAAACTATATAAAATACAATATCAGGCATAAGCATAATATGAATTATAAAATAAAATTGGAAACAGTGATAAATTCTTGTTCTGAATTGAAAAAAGAAAATAAAGAATAAATGTCAGTAAAAGCATTGTAAGAAAAAGAAACTAGAAATTAATTAAAATAAAACAGACGTTTTGTATTTATAAAATGTGTTAAATGTACTTTTAAAAGTAGATTTTCTTAGTAAGACTTTATTTTTTTGTGTTGAAATATGTTTCCTGTGTTAGCAATAAGAAGTACCATTGTATAGAAATAACACATTTGTGTGAATTAAGACTAATTCAATTTAAGTGATCCAGAAGAAAGAAACAATAAGTTTAAAATAAATGTCTATTCTTTGATTTAAAAACATGTAAATCAAGGTTGACATCAAGATCAAGGCAATAGCCTAAGGCTAGGTCTGGCTGATTATATTACTGTTGATATAGAGTTTGGGAGCTTTTCTCATCTATGTAATTATTCATGACTGTTGATGTACCTTTTCTATAATTCTTGCCCAATATATTGTTGACCTCTTGGTGAAGTTTGGATGGGAGCCCAGGACTCATTGTAGAGGGAATTCTAATAAAGAAACATTCATTTTCATTGCTTTGGTTCATGTTTAATGGATCATTATGTTTCTACACTGTCACTCAGTTAGAATTTGTTTGTTTGTTTATTTTTAGGCCATGACTTTTGCTCTGAAGGACATAAGTGTTTAGAAAATTCTTTTTGCAGAAATGTTGAAGAAAAGGCAGTTTGTAGCTGCCGAGATGGTTTCCAAGCTCTTCGAGATGACAGTGTATACTGTGAAGGTAAATTCTTATAAAACATGGTCACATCAGCAACAAAAAATAGTTTGGAATATTGCATGAAGTATAATTAATTCATAGCTTGCCCAAGTGATGGGGTCATCAGAAAATTTAATGTAAAGCTTATTAATCAAATGAAATAATTATATCTCAAATTAAAGTTTAACTTCTTTAAAAAGTTTGATTTGTGTCAAAGCAATAAGTTACTATGATTGAGTACTTGATTTATAAGTAATATATTAACACAGTGTTGATTTTGTTCCATTAATCAGATTTCAGATAAATTATTTTTTATGTATCAGGCCATTTTAATACGTTTTTGAGCTGTTGCATCATTGTAATTAAACCATTTTGATTGTCCTTAAAATCATAGCATTCAAAGTAAACAAAAGGATGGAGGTCTCAGGATTTTATAATATGCATAATTTTAATAACAGCATTACATTTGGAAGATCGTTTACAAATATTGCTAGTTATGAATGTGCTAACTCATTACATGGTTGGTTCATGGAATACACACACACATACACTGTGTGTGTGTGTGTGTCTGTGTGTATAGAATGCATTGCAGTAGTCAAGATGGGAGCTGACTAGGGTGTGAGTGACTGTGAGCAGGGATTGTTGGTTCAGAAAAGGGCATAACTGGCGCACAAACCGCAGTTGTGCATAGGCCACCTGGAGTTTTCAGTCTAGGAGAAACCCCAGATTATGCACTGGCTCTGTCTTGGGCAGTGCAACCCCATCCATATATATAGGATAGAAGCCTCTCCTATCCTATCCCCTTCTCTCCTTCAGGCTTGCCCCATAGAAGCCTCTCCCATTCTATTCCCTTCTCTCCCTCAGGTTTACCTCACAGAAGCCTGGGCCTCACATGAGTCCCAACTCCTCTCTGCCCTCTCGCTGACTTCTCCTCCAGGCATCTCCCTGCTGCCTCTTCAGCTCATTCCATCCCCGTTACATACTCCCCCCACCCAAAATTCTTTGGTCCCCCAAAGAGTGAGGAGTGCTCACCAAGAGTCTGGGGTATCAGGAGATGGATCAGAATTTCGTCTAGCAGTGAGTACTGTGCTGTGGCCTAAAGCATCATATGTCAGTCTTCTAAGGAGATTTATCACTTGTTTTCATCTCTGTACTTTGAGTTCAGCTGTATAGAATGACTTCTAGCACCCAAAAGTCTCAGGGGCTAGAGGCCCAATCTCTGGTTCTGGCTGTTGCAAGGAATGTGGAAGGATTGAGTCTTCCTCCAGAGGCACCTCCAACCCAAGAATCTCTGGAGTTGGTAACATTTTCTCCAGTTCTGACAGCTGCTTAGGCTACTCAGCCTTCCACTCGGGTTCTTTAAGGACTTCTCCCTGTCCCTGAGCTTTAGGTACAAATTCAGGGCCTGAGCTGCTCAGGCCCCATCTCAGTGCCTCATGCAGGGGGAGCTGTTGCAATATTTTCCAGTGACCACAACCAGTTCATACAGCCCTTTTCCTCATCATTGTCATCCTCTTCTCGTGCTACAATGGAGCAGGTTGTCACTCGTCTCCTCCTTGTCGGGCAGGGTTCAGTTGCTTTTGTAGCAGATGGCTGAGAGGCTCGTATTGCCTCATTTAAAGGGAATAGATGATTTTGGTGCCATGCTTTCAGAGCCCTGAACTCCCTTCCATTTGAATCCAGTACACTGGAAATCCATGTAGCTTCTCACTGACAATATATGGCCCAGAACTCCATCAGTCCACCAGTTCATGTTTCCCAAGAATGCCCAGATTTCTCAATAATACCCGATTGCCAGGTTGCAAATCTTGAATCTCACCATCAGATCATAATTTGTCCTGTTTCTCTGTCCTTGGACCGCTGAAACAGCTAGAGCCTTCTCATATGCCATCTTCAGATTCCTTCTCAACCTGTTCACATAGTTGCAGTGTGAATTGAGGGAGGTTTTGTCTGTTGGGATGCCAAAGGCTATATCTACTGGCAGTTGAGCCTCTCTGCCAAACATCAGTCAATATGGAGAATACCCTGTAGCATCATTTTTCATGCTATTATATGTGTGCACAACAGTAGAAATGTGTTGTGTCCAATGTTGCTTCTTCTCTGCAGTCAGCATCCTTAACATGTCCAGAAGAATACAATTGAACCTCTCAGGCTGTGGGTTTTCTTGTGCACCCACAAGGGAGTGGTGCATGACTTCCAAATGCCCAGTATGTCCAGCAGTTGCTTGCTTTTGAAAGCTTGCTTTCAAAATCTTTGCCTTGAATGGAATATATGCACTGACATAGCCCACTTTGCATCTTAAGAAAACAGAACTCTTGGAATAATTCTTCCAACAGGCATCCTTTATTAAGAGAAAATGGTTGCAGGCATTCTAGACAGGACTTGGGGTCCAAGCTCTCCCATTCAAGCTTTTAAGGGGTTTCCCAGTAGTCCCACCCAATCACCCCCTACTTCCAGCGACAGTCTCAGGCATTACATTCCCACCCCCTTTTTCTTACTGCCGGCTGCATGGAGACTTCAGAGAAAACTACATGAAAGGTAATAGCCCCCTTTGTTATGATTAGGCCTTTTTGGTGCTATCCACATTCAGTCTCTTTGAAGTATATTGAAGGAAGTGAGAGCCATAAAGACCCTTTGTTCACCCCCTTCCCTTCATCGTATGACAGAAACCAGGGAAGGCAGAAGTGGGGTTTTCTTTAGTTGATAACTAGAGATGAAATATAATTGGATTCTGATATCCTGCCCCTCAAAAATAAGACAGATCCACCTGAAAGAAAACAAAACAGGTATAAAAGTTAGTCAGGCTTGTTAGGATATTCTGTGTGAAACTTCTTTAAAAGCTTCGGGGCTCTGACATGACGTTTATGGACCCACTCGTTTTGTGAGGCAGGGAGGTGTTTCCAGGCAACTAGGTACTGAGTCGTTCCATGATATCTCCTAGAGTCTAGGATTTCCTTTATTTTGAAGTGTTGTTCGCCCTCCACCATGATTGGAGGTGGTGGTGGGGGAATTTTTGGCCGTAAAGCTGACTGATGCTCTCTTTTCAGCAAGCTGCAATGAAAAATTGGGTGTATTTGCCTGAGATTTTTTGGTAATTCTAATTCTACTGTTACTGGGTTTATGATTCTTTTAATTGAAAAAGGCCCAATATATTTTGGTCCAAGTTTTTTACAGGGTTGTAGGGACTTTAGGTATTTTGTAGATAGGTACACCATTTCACCTATAATGAATGGTGTAGGCTCAACCCTTTTTTTTATCGGCTTGTGCTTTGTATGCCTGCCTAGCTTCATCTAGTGCTTTTCTAACTATTGGCCAGGTGTTTTGTAGTTTTTCCATCCATTCTTTCAGTGATGGGATCGTTGGTTCGTTTGGGGTTAATTCTGGCACGGGGTTGAAACTTTGACCTGTGGCTATTTGAAATGGAGTGTAACCTGTGCTGGAGTGGACTGCATTATTGTAGGCAACTTCTGCAAAAGGGAGTAAGTCCGCCCACTCAGTCTGCTGGAAACTAAGAAAACATCTTAAATATTGCTTAAGTACGGAGTTCATTTTTTCAGCCCCCCCCCCATTCGATTGTGGATGATGGCTAGATGTCAGTCCCTGAGTGGTTCCTAAGAGGGATAAAAATTCCTTCCAAAATGCAGACGTAAATTGCACCCCCGTCAGAGATGATGCGTTGGGGTGCCCCATGCAATCTGTAAATGTGCTGGATGAAAAGTTTTGCTAAGGCTTTTGTGGTGGGAATCTTTTGGCAAGGGATAAAATGCACCTGTTTGGAAAACAAGTCCGTGACCATCCAGACAACAGTATTCCCATTGCTTTCTGGCAATTCCACTATAAAATCCATGGCTATTTCCTTCCAGGGGGCTGAGGGATTTGCCACTGGTTGTAATAGTCCTGGCGATTTCCCTTGCAACCTCTTTGCAAACACACATTTTGGGCAGCTGGCCACATAACTTTCTATGTCCTTTTTTATTGATGGCCACCAAAATTGCCGTTTAATTAAGTGTAAAGTTTTTACAAATCCAAAATGCCCTGCTGATTTTGTGTCATGGCAAAGCTGCATGAAAGTGACTCTTTGAGTTGTTGGTATATATAACTTTTCCCCTACCCAAGGCAACCCGTCTCTCATTGTGCACACATTTTTGTTTTTCTGGAACCATTCATCTGTTTCCAAACTTTTTCTGAATTCAATTCCAGTTTGGCTGTCCAGTTGTGGTTTTAATTTGGCTTGGGTTCTTGTGGTTACTGGTGCTGCCAGTTGTGACTCTTCCATTATTGGTCTAGAGTCTGTGGTTCGTGCGCTGTTATATTGAGGCATGCGAGATAGTACGTCTGCCAGGAAGTTCTTTCTCCATGGTAAATGTTTGAGCTTAAATTGGAACTGGTGAAAATGCTGGGACCAGCGGGCTTGTTTGGGATTGAGTTTCCTGGACGTTTTCAGGGCTTCCAAATGTTGTGATCAGTCCACACCTGGAAGGGGATTTTGTTGCCTTCCAGGAACTGTCGCCACGTGAGTAATGCCCAATGTATCCCATAAGCCTCCTTCTCCCATACGGGCCAGCGCTGTTCTGTTTCTGTGAGTTTCTTGGATGTATATGCACAGGGTTGCAATACTCCATCATCATTTTCTTGTAATAGAACAGCCCCCACTGCCACATCACTTGCATCTGCCTGTATTACGAAGGGCTTGTCCATGACTGGGTGCCTTAGTACTGGTTCGGCAGAAAAAAGTCTCTTCAGTCTCTCAAACGCTGCTTGGCACTCCATTGTCCATGTTAGTGGCTGGCTAGGTTTTACTGAGGATGCTCCCTTCATTTTTAGTAAATTAGTGAGGGGCAAGGCTATCTGGGCAAATGAGGGGATGAATTGGTGGTAAAAGTTTGCAAAGCCCAGGAAACTTTGTAGTTGCTTTCTTGTGCGGGGTGGTGCCCAATCTAATACTGCTCTGACCTTCTCTGGGTCCATTTCAATGCCCTGGGGGGATATGCGATAACCTAAGTAGTCTATCCTTTCCTGGTGGA